GCTCTTAACCCATGACTGGCAGCCTGTGCCCCTGTACCGGCAGAACCAGCATCAGCACAGGATGTCTTTGTGACTCATCACCTGCTTTTACTTATGTATGTATTCATTTAAATACTTATGCCCTGCTTTTCCATCCGAAAGGATCCACATCAGCTTACAACAGTAAAGGATAGCTTATGAATGAACCAGCAAACAGACTAAATGACAAACAGTATCTTGGGATGATCCAGAATCCAGTGGCTGGCTCATCCAAAGACGCAGGCCGCATAGCCCTTTGGTTCATGTCCCTTACTGCACCGAAGCTTTAGACCTGCGACAAGAAGGGGAAAAGCCCACCCTGACCTGGATAGCCCAGGCAAGCCTGATCTCGTCAGATCTCAGAAGCTAAGCAGGGCCGGCCCTGGCAAGGATTCAGATGGGCGACCTCCAAGGAAAACCAGGGCTGGGAGGCAGAGGCAGGCTATCAAGCCACTTCTCTGAACGTCCTCCGTGCCCCAGTAGGCGTTGCCAGAGGTTGCCATGACTTCCAGGCATGGGCATACACACACATGCACACACACAAAATACCCCCAAAAAAGAAGGAAAAGCAAATGCTCAGCACGATTTTACAGTTTAGGATTGCACCGGAGGCATATTGGGCTGCATAGGGTTTTTTAAATTGTGTCTTGTGTTTTTCATTTTGTAAGGTGTTTTGAGTTGGGGGGGGAGGGGGGGGGGGCAGGGCCAGAATATTTAAATAAACTCCCAAGTGAATCTAATACATGTGCATGATTAGTATGATGCCTGTGTTATCTGTGATAGTTTCTTCATTTAAATGCTTTGATTTCGTCTCCCCACAGAGGAGGTCTCAGAGTATAAGCTATTTCCAAATAGTGCTGTTTCAAATGCTGGGTGTGTGTGTGTGTCACGTTACTGAATGCTTCCGCTTATCAGAGAGTGGTGAGGGGGGGGGGGGGTTAGCCTTATCAGAGAGGGAGTAAGTGTGGGGGGGTGTTTCTAGCCTAGTCTTTCCTCTGATACACTTAGTTTCCGGTATGCGGGAGTGCTTTTGTGTTGATATGGGGATTATTCATCCATGCAACCTTGTCACCAGACTTTGGAAGTGGTGCTATCTGGAAATGTTATATTTCCTTTTGGCAGCAAAGCCATGTCAGGAACAGCACATGTGACACTCCCAAGAGGAGGCGGGAGAGGAAGGAGCCACAGACTGACAGAGAGAGAAGAGGAGGAGGAGGAGGAGGAGGGCAGCATGAGAGAGAGAGAGAGAGAGAGAGAGAGAGAGAGA